TCCTTGTGATGTCCCAGGCACCAGAGGACATCCCAGCCCTGCTCCTCATGATGTCACAGGCCCTATGAGTGTCCTGAGTATGGGAAGAGGTTTCAGAGCAGCTCCGATCTCCTACATCAGTGAATTCACACTGTGGAGAGGCCATACTAGAGTCTTGAGTGTCGAGAGCTTCAGGCACAGCTCAGTCTTGACCCAACACCAACGGAGGCACCACTAAGGGAAGCTCTGTGAGTGCCCTGAGTGCAGGAAGAGCTTCGTGCGCTGCTCCAGCTCCATCCCCCATGGGAGGATCAGCGTTGGGTGGTCTCCAGTGACCCCCGTTGGGCAGAGCCCTGGTGATCCGTGGTCCTGGTGATCCATATTGAGAAGACACCTGACTGGGGGGCTCCACCTCTTCCAGGCTCCTGTGACCTTGATTTTCTTTTAATTTCTCTTTGTCCTTTCCAAACACCCAAAAATGGGGTAAAAATAAAGACCTTGAACTAAGACATGGTCGGTGCCATGGGAGGAACTTGCAGGAGCTGTGTGGGCTGGAGGGAGTGCTCCTGGAAGGGACTTGGGAGTTGCTCAGGGCTTTGGGAAACCAGGGCCAAGCAGCTTTGGCTGCACTGAGAGACCCTGGTGGAGGTTCTGGGGCAGCTGCTCAAGGACCCACTGCCCTGGACCTATGCCCACGTCCCCCTGTCCAGGTTCCTAATGTTCCCTGTCCCGGATGCCCCTCTCCTTGCTGTCACTCCCGTGCCCCCCACCCCCTTCCCGTGTCCCGTCCTGCTCCCATCTCAGTCCGGCTCCCATTCCCGGTCTCATTCCCTGTTCCTGTCCCATATTCTCTGTCTGGTTGCCGTTCCCATATTCTCAGTCTCGTATACCCTAACTTTCCTGTTCCCGTTCTCACATTCCTGTTGGCATACTTCTATTTCTATATTCCCTCTTCCGTTTCCACATTCCCATTCCCGGTCCCGTTCCCATATTCAAGTTCCCGCATTTCCAGTCGCGTTCCCTTATTCCGGTCCTCAATCCCGGTCCTTTCTTCCTACTCCTCATCCCATATTCTCAGTCCGGTTGCCGTTTCCGTATTCCTACTCCCCTTCCCATATTCCGTTCCCGTTCCCACTTCCGTATTTCCAGTCCTATTCCCGGTCCCTGTCCTGTATTCCCGGTCCCATTCCCGGTCTCTGTCCCGTATTCCCGATCCCGGTCCCCTCGCACCGGACGCCGCCGCCATCGCTCCAGCCCGCCTCACCCCTCACGTGACCGGAGAAACCCCGCACTGCTCCCACCCACCAATCACAGCACGCGATCCCTCTGATATTTCCATAGCTCCGCCCCCGCCGGCTGTAGCCGCGTCCGGGCGCTGTTTGCTCCCAGTTCCTTCCCAGTAAGGGCGGGGCTGGCAGGGAGAGCGCTCCCTGTTCCTGCCCGGTGCTCTCACCATCGTTCCTAGTGCTCCCAGTATCGCTCCCAGTGCCGGGTGGGGCGGGGCCGTTTTGGAGATACCCCCAGGGCAGAGCGCGGCTGCTTTTGGGTGTCGGCACCTGCCCGGGCCGGGCTGAGAGTGGAGGAGGAGCGGTAGAAAGAGGAAAAAGAGGAGGAAGAGAAGGAGGAGGAGGAAGAGGAAGACGAGCAGCAGCAGCAGAAAACCGCGATGTTCCCCGGCCCGCCCGCTGAGGCTTCCCCGGCTCCGGCAGCATCGTTTCCCCCCCAGAACCCGCAGGGGACTGGAGAGGGGGAGTTCGCCCCAAATCCATCGGAGGGTCTCCAGGAGGGTTTTTTTGCGGGGCAGGGAATGTTTGGATCTTGCAGGTGTGAAATACAAAGCTGTGTTTCATGTCAGGTACATACAGGCAATGTGTGTATTTGTGATTGTGATATGTGTGGAAACTGACCATGGGACAGTTATAAAGACGAATTCTAATAACTGAGAAAAGTAAAGCATGGAAGAAGGCCTTTGAACTTATCTTTTGTTCGCAATTAACCTTAGTTGATTTAGGAGCATTTGAATTAAAGTGTTAAGGATGTTGCTCTTTGCTTGTAGTTAAGCCTTAAAGAGTTTTGCAATAATAACCTTAAAGAGTTTTGCAATAATAACCTTTCGAAGTATAATTTTAGAATATTGCTTATATCCTTAAAACTATAGCTTTGGAATATATATAAAGGAAACATGCTTATCTCATGCCTTAACGAAACAGAGAAAAGCAGCTCAAGAAAGGAAGATGAACATCACCTCAAGGATTTATAGTTTCGACCAAGGGAAGCTGGACATCACTGTTATGAGATTTATAGTCTTTGCAATTAAAAGGTGGACCCACATCTGGGGAGCTGGACTCCACCAGATGGGATTCATCTTTCTTCTTTTGGAAACCGGACCATCACCATCTGGGAATACTCCTTTTGGGATACATCCTGAGAAAAACTAAATCACAATAGTGTATAGAATTGTGACGTAAAAATTTGGAAGAGAAACTGCTGATGAGTAAAAATTGGAATAGAAACTGCTGAGAAAGCTTATGAGTACCCCTATTAATACCTGTAAGCCTCAGCTATCAGTGTGCAGTTGAAGGGAAAACTTCCCACACTGTACCCAGCGCTGTATTGCTCTTACTTTACCATATTAGTTAATAAATTGATTGCTGCTTGAATATTAGCCTAGTCAAGCTTCTTATTTATAACACAGGAGCCCAAAGCTGAGCCGCAAATGCCACTTTGGAGGGATCTAGAGTGATCCCAGGTAGCGATTGCGCAGTACCTTTGGGGACAGGGGCGATATCGGTGTTAGGGATTCCCCGGAGAGAGCCAGGGTAGAACACGGGAGCCCCGGAGTGGGGAGAGCACAGAGGGGCGATCCTGGAGCCAGGGGACGCCCGGTAGATGGAAAGGTTGGGGGAGGCTGGAGATGAGCCAAGTCTGGGCCCCCGAGGCTGAAAGGGGTGGTCACTTGTCGAACTGGACTTGTGTAGCAGGACCATCAAACCATCAATGAGCTCACCCCTTGTTTTTCCCCCCGCAAACCAGGATTTCCCATTCCCAAACCTTGACCTGATAGAAGGGAAGACGACCACGAGGAAGAGGAAGATGTCCCAGGACACCCAGGCAGTTGAGGAGGAAGTCAGTGCCCCTTTCCCCCTCCCTCCTGCTCCATCTCCCAGCCCAGTACTGCCCCCGGCTGCAGGACAACCCCGGTGCTGCCTGGGATGGAGGGGGGGGGAATCTCCTTTCCCTTCCCTCTGGCAGGGAGGCAAATCCCATCCTCTCCTTGTCCTTCCTCCCCCAGACAGAGGATGGAGCTGAGGATGGAGACCAGGTAGGACAAATCCCCGCAGCAGAACCTTGTGGCAGAGGCCATTTTGAGCAGCTCCATGTTGCAGGAATCCAAAAGGGAGGAAAAGCCTCAGAGATTCTTTATGAGGAGGGGCTGTAAACCCAGCCCTGGGATCTGTGAAGAGGAAAAACCCACCCTGGGCCAGAAATGCAGCTGGAGATAGGCCAGACCTCAGAGCTGGGTGTCCGTGAGCAGCTTCAGGCCAGAGCTCAGAGCTGGGTGTCCATGAGCAGCCCCACAAGCGATCAGAATGTGGGAAGAGCTTCAACCAGAGCTCAACTCTGATCTACCACTGGAGAATCCACACTGGGGAAAGATCCTACAAGTGTGGAGAGGGTGGGAAGAACTTCAGGATGAGCTGGTGATCCATGGTCCTGGTGATCCATATTGGGAAGACCCCTGGCTGGGGGGCTCTACATCCTCCTGTCTCCCTGTGGGCACCTGGACACATCCACAGACCAACATCAGAAATCCATTGTGGAGAGCAGATTTGTCAACTTCTGTCCCCAGAAAAATCTCACCTTTTGCATCTTCTGGTGGCATCAAGCAACACTGGATGGCCTCAGAGATCTTCTCGAACATAAATCCATTGTTTTAATTCTCTCTGGCCCACAGGCATCTTCCACAGCAAAATGGGGATATATTGGGGCAAAACTCACAATTTTGGAGACAGTGGGATGGGAAATCCCATCTAAAAAGGTTCTTCCACCCATGTAAGCACATGGATGCTCAACTGGCACAGACACATAAATCCTTTTGGTTTAGCCTTGATTTTTTTTCATTTTTGTTCATCCCTTTGAAACCCCTGGAACTGGGGTAAAAATAAAGATGTTTAACAAAGCCATGGGTGGGGAACAATGACGTGGGGGGACATGGCCATGGATGGCGACATGGCCATGCATGGGGACATGGGGGACATGGACATGGATGTGGACATCCCCCTCATGGATGAGGACATGAGGGGACACAGACATGGATGGGGACATGGAGGGACATGGACATGGGTGGGGTCACGCACTGAGACAGTGTCAGTGCCACCACAGTGCCACCAGCATCTTCATCTCGGCCATGGCAAAGCACTGCCTGATGCAGTTCCTGCCACTATGTTCCCACTGTCACCACTACGGTGTCCCAGCTGAATTTCACCACCCACTAGGGGGGGACAGGGAACTTGTTCAGCTGGTGACAAGTGGCCCAGAAGCAGGTGACAGCCACCAGGGTGTCCCAGAGCCACTGCACTCAGGGGACCCCAACTGCCCCTGGGAACAGGCTGGGGACAGGACAAGGGTCAGTGTCACATGGAGGGGTCACATGGCTTGGTGACAGCGTCCCCTGATATATCCTGGTGGCTTCATGCGCTGACATGTCATGGTGGCAGTGTTCCCACAGGTGTGGCGACATTGTCCCTGATGTGTGTCCTGGTGGCATTGTGCCCCCTCCTCCCCATGTGTCCCCGTCCCCTCCCCTCGTGTGTCCCCTGTCCCTTTCCATGTCTCCCTGTCCCTTTCCCTGTGTTCCCTCCTCCCCATGTCTCCCTGTCCCCTTCCCTGTGTCCCTGTCCCTCCCCCATGTGTCCCTGTGGGGTCAAAGTCCCCAAGGCCCCGGGGCCATGTCCTGCAGGGTGTCCCCTGGTTCCACAGGGTGTCCTTGTGTCCCTCAAGGAGTCACCGTGTCCTGCAGGATGTTCCTGTGGCTGCTGCTGGCACTGAGCATCTGCGCCCACCCTGGCACAGGTAAGAACACGCCACGACATCCCACAACAGCCTAGGACACCTTTTTTCCTCTGATTTTGGGTCGTTCTCCTCTCTTTTGGGTCTGTTCCCCCTTATTTTGGATCCTTTCCCTGGATCCTTTCTCCCTGTTTTGGCTCCTTTCCCCCTTATTTTGGGTTCTTTCCCCCTCTTTTAGGTCCTTCCCCCTCTTTTGGGTCCTTTTGCCCTATTTTGGGTCCTTTCCCCTTATTATGGGTCCTTTCCCCCCGAGTTTGGGTCTTTTCCCCTTATTTGGGGTCATTTCCCCCCTTTTTTGGGTCCTTTCCCCCCATTTTGGGTGCCCTCCCCTTGCTTGTGGCACATTTTTGGGTGCCTCTCCCTCTTCCAACCCCCTCCCCACCCCCTTAACCCCCCTCACCCCCCACCCCCTGTCCCCCCAGGCGTGTCCCCAGCTGTGTCCCCAACTGTCCCCCCACGCCACATGGACTCGGTGCTCGACATCCTGGATGCCCTCGAGTCCCCAGCCCGGGGCGGCTCCCCCGGCGCCGCCGCGGCCTTGGTGAGGCGGCTGGGAGTCTGCAGCACCCCGGGGTGCCGGGCGGTGCTGGGCGGGCCCCTCGGGACCCCCGAACGCCCCCCGGCTCTCACCCCGGGCCAATGGCAGCTCCTGACCGAGCTCCTCCACCACGACCCGGCGACACCGGAGCTGGGGGCGGTGCTGGCGCCCGACGGCTCCACGGTGGCCCTCGGTCCCCTCCTGGCCGGCATCGAGGCGGGGCTGAGATCCGGCGGGTTTGGGCGACCCCTCCCCACCCTCGACCCGCCCGCCGACCCCCCTCTGGGCTGTCACCATCACCGAGGCTTTGGGGACATCCTTCCTGCTGGCGCAGGGGAGTGACCACAACGCCACCGCGTTGGGACCCGGCGGCTGCTGGGACGACGTGGAGAACCCCCAAAATTACACCTTGAGGGGTCCCCCGTCCCCTGTCCCCGACCCTGTGGCCATCGGGGCCATGGATGGGGCAGTCCTGGGGGCGCGGCTGGCCCGGGGACCCCTCCCGGTGGCCGAACTGCTTCGGGGCTACTACGGGACCGGGAATGGCTCGGAAGTGGGGAGACCCCCCAGCAGTTACCGGCGCCGGAATTTTGGGGCACTGGCGGGACAGGGACGACTGGAGAAGGAGGTGGCAGCGGTTTTGGAGCTGCTGAGGACGCTGTCGCCCACCTCGGAGCTCCTGAGAGACGTGGGGACACAGGAGGTGGCAGCCGTGGCTCATAGGGCAGCGCGGGAGTTCAGCGAGCGCTACGTGGGTACGGGTGGGGTGGCATCTCATAAATGGGGTTGATACCTCCCAAACTGGGGTTGTCACCTCCCAGACAGGGGTTGTCACCCCCTAAACAGGGATTGCCACTGCACAAATGGGCATTGTGATCTCCCAAATACTGATTGTCACTGCTTAAATGGGTATTGTCCTCCCCAAACAGAGTTGTCACCCCCTAAACAGTAGTTGTCATCTCCCAGACAGGGATTGTTACCCCCTAAACGGGAGCGTCACCCCTCAAACAGGGACTGTCACCACCTAAATGGGCGTTGTCACCTCCCAGACAAAGATTATCACCCCCTGTGTCTCCACACAGCCTCTGCTGTGATTCCAAGCCCCTTGTACCCAAATGGCCTCTTGTCCCCAAATGACCTTGTCCCCATGTGGACATCACCATGTCCCCAAGGGCCCGTCAAGCCCCTTGTCCTAATGCAGACTCTACTGTGTCCCCATCAAGCCCCATGTCCCCCCCATGTCCCCTCTGCCATGTCCCTAGGATCTCAGGGAACACTCTGCTGTTGTCCCCGCAGAGTGCCCGGCCATCATGCCGCGCTGCCTGTGGGGTGCCCGTCCCTACCGGGGCACCCCGGCCCCGCTGCAGCCCCCGCTGGGCTCGGTGTTCCTGCACCACACCCTGGAGCCATCCCGGCCCTGCCAGACCTTCGGCGCCTGCGCCCGCCGCCATGAGGGAAATGCAGCGCTTCCACCAGGACACCCGCGGCTGGGACGACATCGGCTACAGGTCACTGTCACCTCCCTGGGGTGATGGCACCTGCCACAGTCCCTGTCACCTCCCGTGGGCCCTGTCATTGTACCCCTGTGGGCACTGTCACCTCCACTGGTTCCTCCCACCCTCCATGGGGCCGATCCTTGTCTCCCCATGATCCCTGTCTACCCCATGGTAACTGTAATCCCCTGTGGTCTCCATCACTGTCCCATTGCAGTCCATGTCATTGTCACCTCACAGACCCCACCACTGTTCTCTCACAGTCCCCATCACTGTTGACCCACAGTCCCCGTTCCCATTTCCCCTTCTGTCCCCATAGGCCCCCACAGCCCACATCATTGTCCCCACATTGTCCCCATCACTGTCTCTCCACTAGCCCCATCCCTGTCCCTTTGCAGTCCCCATCCCTGTCCCCTCACTGCCATCATGTCCTCACAGCTTTGTGGTGGGCTCGGATGGGTACCTGTACGAGGGCCGGGGGTGGCACTGGGTGGGTGCCCACACCAAGGGCTACAACACCCAAGGCTTCGGCGTTGGCATCGTTGGGGACTTCACGGCCACCCTGCCGGACCCCGACACGCTGGCCCTCGTGCGGGACGAGCTCCTGCCCTGCGCCGTCCGCTTCGGCCACATCCGGCCGGACTTCATCCTGCGCGGCCACCGCCAGCTCGGCCACACCGACTGCCCCGGCAACGCCCTCTTCGAGGAGATCCAGAGCTGGCCTGGCTTCCAGGGGACACCAGTGGCACGGGGACTCAGGGTGGGTGGCCTGGTGGGGTTGGTGGGCAGGGGTTTAGGGTCATCTTGTGACTGACCATGGGTCTTTGTCCACCCTGCAGTGAGGAGCAGCCCCGGCCAGGGAGCCTGGGCTGGATGGAGGCAGGAGAGGTTGGACAGCAGTCCAGATGGAAACCAGCCCAGTCTGGACAGACATTAGTCCAGCAGATGTTGGTTTGATGGATCCCAGCTGGACATTGGTCCAGATGAACACCAGACCCATGGATCCCAGCTGGACTCTGATCTGCAGCCCCCCAGCCTGGACAGCCCCTAGCTGAGATGACCACCAGCCCAGCCACAACCTGGCCCATCCCACTGGCCCACCAGCCCATCCCAGTAGCCCCAACCTCAAAACCTCCCAAAATAAATCCAATTCCAGGACATCAGCTCTGGGTGGTCCCTGCAGAGCAAGGGGAAACTGAGGCACGGGCTGGGGGTGACTTTGGGATGATGGGAGGAGACTTCGGGAGCCACCCTGGAGACCCCAAACCTCCCCCCCAAACGAGCACCCAGTCTCCAAACTGGCACCTGTGGCATCCCAGCCCCTCCCAGTTGTCATTTCGGGGGGACTCTAGGAGCCACTGTGACCCTGCAGTCTCTTCGAGAGGTCACCCGCGGTGTCCCCCGGGTGTCACCGGGGCGTCCCCAGCGGGAGCAGCAGCATCACCTCCCGAGGGAGCGGCGGAAAAGGAGGAGGAGGTGACAGGGTGACTGTAATTCCTGCCTGGTCACATGGGGAAGCTGCGACAGGACCGGGGACCGGGGGACCGAGCGCGGGAGCAGCAGCGGACGTACCACGGGGACGGGGCGGGAGGGACATGGGGACAGTCCCCAGAGTCCCCAGGGTACCCTCGGGGGATGCTGCGGCCGGGACAGCGTGGGGAATACGGGGTCGCGCGGCATCCTCGGGGGGATGCGGGGGCTGGAAGTGGCGTGAAGGGACCCCAAAAATGCTGTCACCCCCCCTTGTAGGATGTGGGCCACTCCCCGCTTTGGGGCGCTGGTGACAAATTGGCGGGTGGTGATGATCAAAAGCGCGGGTGCCACCTCGGGGATGTCACGGAGGGGGTCCTGCGGTGCCACCGGGTCCCCCGCGCTGAGCGGGTGACAAAGGGGGGATCGGGGGTCCCCAGGGTGCGGGGGGGGGGGGGGGGGGGGGGGGGGGCGGGGCGCAGGGGAAGCGCGGCCGGGGCGGGACGGAAACGTCTCCAGTCCCGCCTGCGCCCGAGCCATGGGGATTGCGGGGCACCCATCACTCTGTCCCCGGCAGGGGTGGGGGCTGCGAGGCGCTGCCGTGGGGACCCACCTGGGTGGGCACCCCCTGGGTGGGCAGAAGAACCCAAAAATTTGGGTCCCCTGGATGGGCAGGGGTATCCCAGGGAGGGGGGACCCCAAAAACTGGGGACCCCTGAAGGTGGGGATGCCACGTTGGGGTTGCCCATCCCACGACGCCCAAGTTCAGCCCCTGGACTCCCCTGAGTGACTCTCCCCCTCCCAACCCCACCCACGCCTGCCCAGGGACCCCCAAAATGCCTCCCTCCATCCCACTAACCCCAAATCCAGCCCATGAATCCCCAAAATGATTCCCCCCATCTCGCCACCCACAATTCCAGCTCACAAAATTACTTCCCCCGTCCCACCACTCCTAAATTTACCTACCCCCTGGGGCCCCCCAAAGTGACTCCCCCCATGCCAGCGCCCCCACATCTACCCCGTGGAACCCTCAAACTCTACTCTCCCCCCAACAGATGGAGGTGAAAGCCCTCCCGGCCACCCCCGAGCCCCCCGCCCTACTGAAGAACTACAAGTGCCGCGCCGCGCCTGTCCCCGGCGGTCAACAGGCGGCGATCCCGAAAGGGGCGGGAGGTCCCCGGGGAGCTGCCACTGGGAGCGGATGCAGGGCTGGAAATGCTCCTACAGCCACCCCGGCACTGACGGCAACAGGGCTGGCGACAGTGGTGTCCCCAAGGCCAGCGCGTGTGGGTCCCTGTTCCAAAAGGCGTTTTTCGCCCCCTCCAAGGCGCCCAAGGGTACAGGGACCCGAGGGGGACAGGAGGGGACGAGGCCACCCCTGCAGCAGTACCTGCATTCCGAGGACAGGAGGAGGCGACACGGTGACAGCGGAGCCAGGGCAGCGCTGGGGGCACAGGATGGGGCAGGTGAGGAAGGTACAGGGGTGGGAGAGTGGTGGTGAGGGGTGGGGGGAATTTTGAGGCGATGGGTGGGGTGTGATGAATTTTGGGGTGATTATGATGGGTGGAGGGTGATGGGGATGGTTTGGGTGTCATGGTTTGGGGGGGGGTGATGACTTTTGGGGTGATGATGATGATGGGCGGGGGGTGATGAATTTTGGGGTGTGGGGTGGGAGGTGTTGGCCTGGCACAGCCCCCCTGGGATGCTCAGTCTCCCCTATCCCCAGGGTCTCTTCCCACCCCATGTGTCCCTGTCCCAGTGTTGCCCATGCCAGGGCTGGCACTGACAGTGGCACCGGGCCAGGCCCTGTGGCACCAGCACTGGGATCCAGCCAAACCGGCTCGTTACCAGTGAGGCCACCCACAGGGCAGGCACAGAGCCACCCCAGCCTGGCCCCACACATGGCCTGTCATTGTCACACTGCCACACCCACTGGCATTGCCACCCCATGGCCACCTGTCCCCTGGTGGCATCTCCACGAGCATCTCGGGACCTGCGGTGGCACCTCCAAGGCCACACATCCCTTGGTGTCACCATACCCACGGTGGCATCTCCATGGCAATGCGTGCCCTGGTGTCACAACATCCATGGTGGCGCTTCCATGTCCACCTGTGCCCCATCCTGGCACTCCTGGTGGCATGACCAGGTCACCTGTCCCCCATCACTGTCACATCCCCCATGAGTGACAGGGGCATGGGGGGCACCCACAGCCTGTTCTGTCCCCTCCTATGGCCAGGGCAAGCCATGGCCCCTGTCAAGCTGCTCTGTAAATGGCCCCCCTTACAGGCAGCCAGTCAAGAAGGGCATGGAATTTTTACAGTGACATTTAAATGCAGTTTCTTTCTTTCTTTAATCCAAAGAAATTAAGGAATATTGTAGGTGCTGTACTTCGGAGGGGTGGAATGTCTGTGTTCACCAGGCTGGAACAGCTTTATTCTAGAGTGAAAGCTGAATGCTGGATGCTGAAGTAATTTCAGAGCAACACAGAACATGCTGAGTTGAAAGGAACTCATCAGGATCATTGAGTCCAACTCCTGCCCTGCACAGAACACCACAACAATTCCACCGTGGGCCTGAGAGCATCGTCCAAATGTTTCCTGTCCCATAACAGACTTGGGGCTGGTACCACTTCCTTGGGGACCCTGCCCCAGTGCTCAACCCCCCTCTAGGCGAAAAACTTTCTCCTGATATCCAACCTGTCCTCCCCTGACTCAGCTCCAGCCATTTCATTGAGTCCTGTCCCTGCTCATGAGAGTGAAGAGCTTGGTGCTGGCCCCTGCACTGCCCCTCGGGAAGATGTTGAAGAGCTCACTGAGGTCTCACCTGAGTCTCCTCTTCTCCAGATGAACAAACCAAGTGTCCTCAGCTGTTCCTCACAGAGCCCCTTGAGACCCTTCCCCATCCTTGTGACCTCCTCTGGACACTTTGCAATGGCTTTATGTCTTTTTTATATTGTGTTCTCGCTCAAGGTGAGGCCACCCCAGTGCAGAGCAGAGCGTGACAATCGCCTCCCCAGCCCAGAGGCCAGGATGCTGGGCTGCTGCCCCCCAGGACACAGTGACACTTTGGACTGCCAAGGCACTGTTGACTCATGTTCAGCTTGCCCTTGGCCAGGACCCCCAGGTCCCTCCCTGCAGCTGCCCTGCAGCCCCTCCTTCCCCTGTCCATACGCCAAGCCAGGGCTGCCCATCCCAGGGGCAGAATCTGACCCCTCCCTTGTTAAATTCCACACCATTGGTGATTGCCCATCTCTATTTGGGAGACCTCTCTGCAGAGCCTCTCTGCCCTCCGGGCAGGTGACAGTTCCTCCCAGTTTGGTGTCATCGGTAAATTTACTGATTATCCCTTCAAGTCCTGTGTTCACATTGTTAATAAAGACATTGGAGAGCCAGGACTGCCAATGAAGCCCTGCAGAACCCTCTGGTGACCACTGCCAGCGTGGTGTCACCCCAGTCACTGCCAGCCTCAGTGCCTGACCTGTGAGCCAGTTGCTCACCCATTCCACAATGTGTTCATCCAGCTATGTGATGGGCACTTTGTCTGGAAGCATTCTGGGTGGCATTCTGGGAGGCACAAAAGCTTTGCTGAAATCCAGAAAGATTCCATCTGCTGGCTTTCCTGGATCAACCAAGTGGGTTCCCCTGTGTCCTAGGGTGACGTTATGATGCTTGTATCCCCATTCATGTGTTCTGTTAATGTTGGATATCATGTTCTGTACCTTTAAGACCGGCTCTGAAGAGGGAAAGTTTTGTTTTGGTTTTCTTATCAGCCTGGCGGGACACAGAGACTGCAGCTTTGGCTTTTGCTGTTTTGGCTTTTTGCTTTTGCTCTCTCGCTCTTGCTTGCTTCGCTTCTGCTTGCTTTTGCTCTTTAGCTAGTTTAGCTAAACTGTCCAATTTCTTCCTGGACGGTTTCTCCTTTCCTTTTTCTGATCATTTCGAACCTGCTCCGGACTGGGACCTGAGAAACACCAAGATCCTGCACCTTCTGGCCTGCAGCAGCAGCCCCAGCGCCGGAGGGACTGAGAACAAAGTGACCACCCCCAGAGAGACTTTCTGAATTTGTCATCTTTTTCAGAGCGGTGTCATTGGGTACTGTTCATTCTGTGTGCTGGGGGTGCTGTTCCTGTTAAATAAACAGGTTCGTTCCACTCCTCTCCGAGAAATCCTTCCCGAACCGGTTGGGGGGAGGGGCTGTGGGGGTTTGCTTACTGGAGGGGCCCTAATTTGGAAATTCTCCTCCAAATTTGCCCTAAACCTTGACAAAATTTTGGCGCCCAACGCTGGGCTCGAGAGAGTGAGTGGAAAAACCCTGTTTTGAGGGTATTTTGGTTGCCATTACTCTCTGTTTGTTTGAAGCAGTTAATAGCCATGCTTTTTGAATTCATGATGAGTGTTGGGGTGAAGGCTTGCATGTGCTTCTGGTCCCTAGGGTTTTTCGAGATTTTAATACCTCTGTGGTCCCTAGGTTTATTTTCCTATCCTGAAATAGTTCTAGTATTGTCCCTCATACGTAGTTTTTACAGCAGAGGGCCAGTGACCAGAATAGCTATCCTGCTGGGCTTGATGGCAATGATGTGCAAGAAGTTTATAAACATGTTGGGGTCTGCTCCAGGTATGAATGGTTCTTGGCAATGGTTATTCGTCCAGTTTGTTAGAGGAGGAGCAGCAGGGAATGAGGCTTTTCAGCCTTTGCTTTCCTTCTTCTCCTATGAATCGGTTGCATCAGTAGTGAAGGATGTTCAGTTTCCCCTGAATATTAAAGAAACCATCTTTCTTGTATTCAATCTGGTAACCTTCTTCTATACAGTCTGCTGCTTCTCCAGAATGAGGGCTGAGATTTCTAGACGGGCTGATGAGACCCCTGACTCAGGAGTAGACCCAGGTGTGAAACATCCTGAGTGGTGTGGGAAATGGGAGGAAATGGGCCAAATCCTGAAGGAATTCTCCGACCCTATAGTCTGGGATTTTCCCCATAAACAAACTCAGAACCTAGCTGAGGTGGGGAAATATCTGAAAGAGAAATACCAGGATGAGCCTAAGGAGAGAAAGGTCATTGCAGTGAGCTGGGCCCTGGCATATGCTTATCACACTCTGTTGGAGACTGTAGGACAGCAGACGGAGGCAGGGGGGCAGGGAGATAAATCAGCTATCCCAGTCACTCAGGCTGCAGCCAACACCACAGGCTCAAAGCCAGCAGCCAAACCAGATAGTGAGCCTAAGCCAGCAGCTAAACCAATGGCTGTTGCTACCAGTACTAGAAGTGGGAAATGCACGGACAAGACCAATCGACCAGTGGATGATGATGATGATGATGCAGCAGAAGAAACCTCAATGCCTCCTGACATAAAATCAGGAGTCAAAGCAGCAGGTGCAAGACCAGATGCAAATGTTGAGTCCTTTTCCCTGAAGGACCTTTGTGGCTTACGGAAGGATTACACCTGACGACCTGATGAATCTATAATTAGTTGGTTAGTCCGTCTCTGGGATGCTGCAGGCGAGGCTACAATTCTGGATGGCACAGAAGCGAGGCATTTGGGATCCCTATCACATGATCCTGTCATCGACCAAGGAATGATGAGGGGGGCAAACCCTCAGAGCCTCTGGGCACGGGTCTTGGAAAGTGTTGCACAAAGATACCTGTGTGCAGATGATCTTTATATGCAACAGACACAGTGGAAGACCATAGAGCAAGGGATCCAACGCCTGAGAGAGATGGTAGTGGCAGAGATTATCTTCTCAGATGATGTGACAACTAGGAACCCAGACTTGGTGCCATGCACGTCTGTGATGTGGCGGAAACTTGTGCGACTTGGGCCACACGAATATGCTTCTGCCCTAGCCATAATGAAGCGGGATGAGAGGGACAAGACTGTGCTGGATATGGCAAGGAAGCTCCGAGCATATGCAGATGCTGTGCATGGCCCAACACATGCCAGAATTGCAGCGGTAGAAACACATCTGCAGAACTTAGAGCATAAGCTAGAGGAGAATCATAAGAAGCTCAGAGAAGAGATTAAAGAAGACCTTCTCCAAATCTCGGCAGTACAGATCAGAGGTTCTGGTATCCAAGGCAGACGTTCCCCAGATGGCCAGAGAAGGTACACCCCACGAACAGAGCTGTGGTTCTACCTGCGTGACTGTGGAGAAAACATGAGGAGGTGGGATGGAAAATCTACTGCTGTTCTGGCACGACGGGTGCGTGAATTGAAGGAAGCCACCAGGAAGAAAGCAGCTCCAGTTGCCCATAGCCGAACCACCAGGTATGATGCTGAGGATGCCACGTCTGATCCCCTTGAAGGAACATCCAAGACATATGCCCAGGGAAAGAAGGATAACCAGGCTTAGAGGGGCCCTGCCTCTAGCCAGGTAGAGGCCAGGGAAAATCGTGTTTTCTGGTCTGTGTGGATTCGTTGGCCTGGCACATCGGAACCACAAGAGTATAAAGCTTTGGTTGATACTGGCGCGCAATGTACATTAATTCCGTCGAGACATGTGGGGACAGAGTCTGTTTCTATTGCTGGTGTGACAGGGGGATCCCAGGATTTCACTTTGGTGGAAGCGGATGTGAGCCTCACTGGGAATGAGTGGAAGAAACATCCTATTGTTGTTGTAGTGCGTTCTTATATTTTGTAATACTTTGAAGTAGTTGGTTTTGTATCCCCATGTTTTTCCCAAATGGCTTATCCCAGACTGTACCCCCCCCTCTCCTTTTCCCTCTACTTGTGTTATCCCTTTCCTGGGATAAGATCTCCAAAACCCCCACCCTGGCTCTCTGCCAGTCACCTCGACATCCCAGCCCCCTACCTAGAAGTTTCGGTCCAAGTTGTCGAGTGATTAGCCAGGGGCCAAGGGTCAACCCCCCAAGTCCTGCCCCATACGCTGTTTTGTATGTCTATCCCCCCAGCACCCATCCCCCAGAGATACCTATTGGTCAGTAGGATTTTATCTATGTTAGTTTCCTCCCCCCTTTAAATGTAAGCTCCGAACATCCCCCAGTGCTCTCGGCAGGAGGACCCCCTGAGGTATAGGAGCTCCCTCGGGACTCCTTAATAAAACCTTGGAATACCCCCTGCTGGGAGTCGGCCCTTTCTCTTCCACCCTTCCACCGACGTCTCGGTCGTCTCTGCTGCAACGAAGGCAACCAGCCTGAGTGCCCTCAGCACCCTCGGGGCACAGAGAGTGTCTCCCTGCAGTCGGCCGTGGTGGGGCTACCCCCCCCACTCTCTGCCGACCCGGGTAAGGCCCAGGGACTTGAGAGGCTTGCAGAGAGACTGGGACAACTTGGCGCCCAACGTGGGGCTCTGGGACCATTCCAGGAGCCCACGGAAAGGGGCTCGGACATACTTTCAGTCTGTTCGATAAGCCTTCGGCCGGCAAGCTACCTCAGGAAAGAAAAAACTCCGTTTTAGTGAGTTGCTCTCCTGTGGATGAAGCTGGGAGCTTCTTATGTACCCCAAGAAGTCAGCTTCAGGTGGAAATCAACATCCCAGGCTTTTTCGTTCCCCTCTCCTGCAGTTGGATTGGTAAGTTTTACCCTTCTCTTGTTTCTCCCCTCTTTGGGAGGGGGTGTTTCCCTGCCCTTTGTTCTCAGCCCCGCCGCGGAGGGCTGAAGTTTTTTTTCCTTTCTCTCTATTGTGGGCAGACTGCCAGCTGTAGGCTTTTTTCTCCTCCCCCCCCCACCTGGGTTGCTGAAATTTGAGATACAAATTTAAAATCAGAGCCAAAATGGGTGCTAGGCTTTCTGTATCTCACAAGGGTGTCTATTATCATCTCTTAAACATTCTTAAGAGTGAGAAAATCCGATTTTCAAAGACAGATGTTAAACAGTTCGTCAGATGGCTTTTCCTTCACTTCCCCAACGTGTCCACTGAAAATCTCAGTGATTTGGCTTTTTGGGACAAAATTGGTAGTGAATTATTGAAGGCAGGGAAATCAGGAGACATATCTCCGTCAAAATTTGCTTTTTTAGCCCTGCAGATAAGAAATGTTGTAAAATTTAATTTAAAGATGCAAGAACAGCCATCCGGCAACAGTTTCAATATCTCTGTTTCACAAAAACCCGATCTACCCCCCTCCGAGTTCGGTTCTCCCTCCCCCATCCACCTTTCCCCACCCCCAGCCCCGGTACAAACCCCTGCCTCCCCCCCGAGGCTCTCTGTCTCCAACCCGGACACTTCTGCCCTGAATTCCCGAAATCTTACCCTCCCCCCTGCTTCCACAAGTTATAATACCGTGTCTCACAACCTTAGTGCCCGCCTTGGTACCCCTGAGACGCGTCCGGTAATCCCCTCTGTCCATAATGGCGGACACCACGTGGCAATGTCGGTTTCCTCGCCTTCCCATAATCCCTTTCGCTCTCCCAACAACCCATTCTGCTCGGAGCACCCCGCCCCCGAAACCCGCCCTCCCTGTGCCCTTCCCCCGTCCCCTCCCCCGGCCCCTCCCACCCTTCCCCCGTCTCCTCCTCCGGCCCCTCCGGCCCCTCCTCCGGCTCCTCCCGCCCTGGCCCCGGCCGCCCCTCCTGCTCTGGCCCCGGCCGCCCCCGCCCCCTCAGAGCTCTGCCCGCCCGCCGCGGGCTCCCTCCGCCCCCCCCACGGCCCGCCCTCCGGCGCTCAGAGCAGTGTAACAAGAGACGCTGTTGCTGGGAGACCGAACCCGGAAACAGCACCGTCCTTTTCTGCTGCCCCTGTCTCATATATTCCAGATGTCACCGGGGCATTCCAGCCAAATTATAGCCCCCTTTCCGTTGATTCTGTTAAAGAACTAGCCAAAGCCCAAAAAGATTTTGGGAGATCAAGTGAATATTTTAGAGGGCTCCTTAAAGCTACATTATTCGCTCACATTCTAACCCCTGCTGATATAAAACACCTTTTTTCCTGCCTGTTATCCTCTTCTGAATATCTCTTGTGGGATGTTGCATGGCAAAAAGGATTGAGAGCAATTTTACCAGCTCTGTGGGCTGATGAAGCTACTGCTCGTGATGTTTATGGTAATATGTTATCTCTCGATCATCTCTGTGGACAGGGGGGTTGGGAAGACGCCGTGATCCAGGCAGAAAGCATTCCCACAAGGGCTTTCAGAGAATGTGCTAGAGCAGCTGAGAAAGCTTTCTTTGGGCTCCGTCCTAGTATTCCAATTGAAAATTATTTGAAAATAACACAATCTCCATCTGAGTCCTTTTTGAGTTTTGTGGAAAGGTTGAGAAAAGCTGTTGAATTGCAAGTTCAGAATGAAGGAGCCAGGATGGAAATCCTCACCGAGATTGCTAAAGAAAATGCCAATGAGAAGTGCAAAGCTGCTATCCTCAGCCTGCCTCTTGACCCAACGCCTACGCTGCAGGCCATGCTTGAAGTGTGTGAGAAGAAAGTAACCATTACCCTCGCTGACCACGACGAGAGACCAAAACCACAGAGGAGGATTGCTGCAGTGGAAACCCCTGAGCCATCATTTACCAGCCAGCTCCAGCATGTCACGATGCCACAAGAGAGAATCTCCAGCTCCAATAGACCTTGCCATCTTTGTGGGAAGTTGGGGCATTGGATGCCGGACTGCCCTCTGAAAAAGCAGTTTTTAGATTTTAAATACAATATGATTAAAAACCAGAATTCCCCAAAGGACCACCTCTCAAAAAACTGAGTAAAGAGCGCTCCTTTCCCCAGCGCTATGACAAAAATAGGGTGGGCTCAATTCAAGTACGGGGGAGGGAAAAGAAATCTAGTGTAAAAGATGTATCGGTGCCAAGCGAGGCACTGGCTTTGAACAAAACAGAACATTCATTTCATTGGAATAATCCCAGGCCAATCTTAACCACTGACTCTTCCCATAATCCTTACAGGCTGGCGTTGACCGAACCTCTCCATCTCAGAGACACTAACTGGCATTTCATATCTGTTAACCCTGAACAACCAGGTACTTGGACACAGCTTTGCCAGAAGCGTCACAGTAAGTATGTCGTCCTTGGGGACACAAAACACACACCCCAAGAAATTATTATTCCTCCGGGTCTCATATCATCAGACCCGAAACAATTTGTCATATGGCTTCACTGTACTCATCCACCCGTGTACTTGCCCAAAGGCCAAATCATAGCCCAAGCCATCCCAGTGCCTGAGCCTCCATGGGACCAGGAGCAAGCAGACACCCTCAGAGGTAAACTCCGTCCCAATGTCTGCTGGACTCAGGTATTGGGAAGAGAAAAACCCAAGCTATCATGTGGGTTACACCGTGGTGGTGAGTACAAGTCCATACAAGGACTTTTAGATACTGGAGCAGATGTCACGATTATTCCATCTAAAGAGTGGCCATCACACTGGGAATTGCAAAACGTAGCAGGACACGTGCAAGGTGTAGGGGGAATTCAATTGGCAAGACAGTCAAAAAACGTTGTTCAAATTGAGGGACCCAATGGCAAAATAGCTTCCATTCGCCCGTTTGTTTTAGAC